TTTGTGGGAACATACTTGTAGTGTATATGATGAACTAGACAGACCCATACTTACCCAAACATGGATTAATAGGTTTATACATGACTATGAGGGAAACATGATGAAACGGTCTCAATCCAAGGGAGAACATCAAATGGACCAAATTTGGGAACCGGAAGAGGTAAGGAGTCCGAAATGTATCTCTGTGCCTCCACATTGTGGGAACTTACTTGTAGTGTATATGATGAACTAGACGGACCCATACTTACCCAAACATGGATTAATAGGTTCTACATGACTAGGAGGAGAAACATGATGAAAGGTCTCAATCCAAGGGAGGAACATCAAATGGACCAAATTTGGGAACCGGAAGAGGTAAGGAGTCCGAAATGTATCTCTGTGCCTCCACATTATGGGAACATACTTGTAGTGTATATGATGAACTAGACGGACCCATACTTACCCAAACATGGATTAATAGGTTCTATACATGACTATGAGGAGAAACATGATGAAACGGTCTCAATCCAAGGGAAGGAACATCAAATGGACCAAATTTGGGAACCGGAAGAGGTAAGGAGTCCGAAATGTATCTATGTGCCTCCACATTGTGGGAACTTACTTGTAGTGTATATGATGAACTAGACGGACCCATACTTACCCAAACATGGATTAATAGGTTCTACATGACTATGAGGAGAAACATGACTGAAACGGTCTCAATCCAAGGGAGGAACATCAAATGGACCAAATTTGGGAACCGGAAGAGGTAAGGAGTCCGAAATGTATCTCTGTGCCTCCACATTGTGGGAACATACTTGTAGTGTATATGATGAACTAGACGGACCCATACTTACCCAAACATGGATTAATAGGTTCTACATGACTATGAGGAGAAACATGATGAAACGGTCTCAATCCAAGGGAGGAACATCAAATGGACCAAATTTGGGAACCGGAAGAGGTAAGGAGTCCGAAATGTATCTCTGTGCCTCCACATTGTGGGAACTTACTTGTAGTGTATATGATGAACTAGACAGACCCATACTTACCCAAACATGGATTAATAGGTTTATACATGACTATGAGGGAAACATGATGAAACGGTCTCAATCCAAGGGAGGAACATCAAATGGACCAAATTTGGGAACCGGAAGAGGTAAGGAGTCCGAAATGTATCTCTGTGCCTCCACATTGTGGGAACATACTTGTAGTGTATATGATGAACTAGACGGACCCATACTTACCCAAACATGGATTAATAGGTTCTACATGACTATGAGGAGAAACATGATGAAACGGTCTCAATCCAAGGGAGGAACATCAAATGGACCAAATTTGGGAACCGGAAGAGGTAAGGAGTCCGAAATGTATCTCTGTGCCTCCACATTGTGGGAACTTACTTGTAGTGTATATGATGAACTAGACGGACCCATACTTACCCAAACATGGATTAATAGGTTCTACATGACTATGAGGAGAAACATGATGAAACGGTCTCAATCCAAGGGAGGAACATCAAATGGACCAAATTTGGGAACCGGAAGAGGTAAGGAGTCCGAAATGTATCTCTGTGCCTCCACATTGTGGGAACTTACTTGTAGTGTATATGATGAACTAGACGGACCCATACTTACCCAAACATGGATTAATAGGTTTATACATGACTATGAGGAGAAACATGATGAAACGGTCTCAATCCAAGGGAGGAACATCAAATGGACCAAATTTGGGAACCGGAAGAGGTAAGGAGTCCGAAATGTATCTCTGTGCCTCCACATTGTGGGAACTTACTTGTAGTGTATATGATGAACTAGACGGACCCATACTTACCCAAACATGGATTAATAGGTTCTACATGACTATGAGGAGAAACATGATGAAAGGTCTCAATCCAAGGGAGGAACATCAAATGGACCAAATTTGGGAACCGGAAGAGGTAAGGAGTCCGAAATGTATCTCTGTGCCTCCACATTGTGGGAACTTACTTGTAGTGTATATGATGAACTAGACGGACCCATACTTACCCAAACATGGATTAATAGGTTCTACATGACTATGAGGAGAAACATGATGAAACGGTCTCAATCCAAGGGAGGAACATCAAATGGACCAAATTTGGGAACCGGAAGAGGTAAGGAGTCCGAAATGTAGCTCTGTGCCTCCACATTGTGGGAACTTACTTGTAGTGTATATGATGAACTAGACGGACCCATACTTACCCAAACATGGATTAATAGGTTTATACATGACTATGAGGAGAAACATGATGAAACGGTCTCAATCCAAGGGAGGAACATCAAATGGACCAAATTTGGGAACCGGAAGAGGTAAGGAGTCCGAAATGTATCTTGTGCCTCCACATTGTGGGAACATACTTGTAGTGTATATGATGAACTAGACGGACCCATACTTACCCAAACATGGATTAATAGGTTCTACATGACTAGGAGGAGAAACATGATGAAACGGTCTCAATCCAAGGGAGGAACATCAAATGGACCAAATTTGGGAACCGGAAGAGGTAAGGAGTCCGAAATGTATCTCTGTGCCTCCACATTGTGGGAACTTACTTGTAGTGTATATGATGAACTAGACGGACCCATACTTACCCAAACATGGATTAATAGGTTCTATACATGACTATGAGGAGAAACTTGACTGAAACGGTCTCAATCCAAGGGAGGAACATCAAATGGACCAAATTTGGGAACCGGAAGAGGTAAGGAGTCCGAAATGTATCTGTGCCTCCACATTGTGGGAACATACTTGTAGTGTATATGATGAACTAGACAGACCCATACTTACCAAACATGGATTAATAGGTTCTATACATGACTATGAGGAGAAACATGACTGAAACGGTCTCAATCCAAGGAAGGAACATCAAATGGACCAAATTTGGGAACCGGAAGAGGTAAGGAGTCCGAAATGTATCTTGTGCCTCCACATTGTGGGAACTTACTTGTAGTGTATATGATGAACTAGACAGACCCATACTTACCCAAACATGGATTAATAGGTTCTATACATGACTATGAGGAGAAACATGATGAAACGGTCTCAATCCAAGGGAGGAACATCAAATGGACCAAATTTGGGAACCGGAAGAGGTAAGGAGTCCGAAATGTATTCTGTGCCTCCACATTGTGGGAACATACTTGTAGTGTATATGATGAACTAGACGGACCCATACTTACCCAAACATGGATTAATAGGTTCTATACATGACTATGAGGAGAAACATGATGAAACGGTCTCAATCCAAGGGAGGAACATCAAATGGACCAAATTTGGGAACCGGAAGAGGTAAGGAGTCCGAAATGTATCTCTGTGCCTCCACATTGTGGGAACATACTTGTAGTGTATATGATGAACTAGACGGACCCATACTTACCCAAACATGGATTAATAGGTTATACATGACTATGAGGAGAAACATGATGAAACGGTCTCAATCCAAGGAGGAACATCAAATGGACCAAATTTGGGAACCGGAAGAGTAAGGAGTTCCGAAATGTATCTCTGTGCCTCCACATTGTGGGAACTTACTTGTAGTGTATATGATGAACTAGACGGACCCATACTTACCCAAACATGGATTAATAGGTTCTACATGACTATGAGGAGAAACATGATGAAACGGTCTCAATCCAAGGGAGGAACATCAAATGGACCAAATTTGGGAACCGGAAGAGGTAAGGAGTCCGAAATGTATCTGTGCCTCCACATTGTGGGAACTTACTTGTAGTGTATATGATGAACTAGACGGACCCATACTTACCCAAACATGGATTAATAGGTTTATACATGACTATGAGGAGAAACATGATGAAACGGTCTCAATCCAAGGGAGGAACATCAAATGGACCAAATTTGGGAACCGGAAGAGGTAAGGAGTCCGAAATGTATCTCTGTGCCTCCACATGGTGGGAACTTACTTTTAGTGTATATGATGAACGAGACGGACCCATACTTACCCAAACATGGATTAATAGGTTCTATACATGACTATGAGGAGAAACATGAGTGAAACGGTCTCAATCCAAGGGAGGAACATCAAATGGACCAAATTTGGGAACCGGAAGAGGTAAGGAGTCCGAAATGTAGCTTTGTGCCTCCAAATGGTGGGAACTTACTTTTAGTGTATATGATGAACGAGACGGACCCATACTTACCCAAACATGGATTAATAGGTTCTATACATGACTATGAGGAGAAACATGAGTGAAACGGTCTCAATCCAAGGGAGGAACATCAAATGGACCAAATTTGGGAACCGGAAGAGGTAAGGAGTCCGAAATGTAGCTTTGTGCCTCCAAATGGTGGGAACTTACTTTTAGTGTATATGATGAACGAGACGGACCCATACTTACCCAAACATGGATTAATAGGTTCTATACATGACTATGAGGAGAAACATGAGTGAAACGGTCTCAATCCAAGGGAGGAACATCAAATGGACCAAATTTGGGAACCGGAAGAGGTAAGGAGTCCGAAATGTAGCTTTGTGCCTCCAAATGGTGGGAACTTACTTTTAGTGTATATGATGAACGAGACGGACCCATACTTACCCAAACATGGATTAATAGGTTCTATACATGACTATGAGGAGAAACATGAGTGAAACGGTCTCAATCCAAGGGAGGAACATCAAATGGACCAAATTTGGGAACCGGAAGAGGTAAGGAGTCCGAAATGTAGCTTTGTGCCTCCAAATGGTGGGAACTTACTTTTAGTGTATATGATGAACGAGACGGACCCATACTTACCCAAACATGGATTAATAGGTTCTATACATGACTATGAGGAGAAACATGAGTGAAACGGTCTCAATCCAAGGGAGGAACATCAAATGGACCAAATTTGGGAACCGGAAGAGGTAAGGAGTCCGAAATGTAGCTTTGTGCCTCCAAATGGTGGGAACTTACTTTTAGTGTATATGATGAACGAGACGGACCCATACTTACCCAAACATGGATTAATAGGTTCTATACATGACTATGAGGAGAAACATGAGTGAAACGGTCTCAATCCAAGGGAGGAACATCAAATGGACCAAATTTGGGAACCGGAAGAGGTAAGGAGTCCGAAATGTAGCTTTGTGCCTCCAAATGGTGGGAACTTACTTTTAGTGTATATGATGAACGAGACGGACCCATACTTACCCAAACATGGATTAATAGGTTCTATACATGACTATGAGGAGAAACATGAGTGAAACGGTCTCAATCCAAGGGAGGAACATCAAATGGACCAAATTTGGGAACCGGAAGAGGTAAGGAGTCCGAAATGTAGCTTTGTGCCTCCAAATGGTGGGAACTTACTTTTAGTGTATATGATGAACGAGACGGACCCATACTTACCCAAACATGGATTAATAGGTTCTATACATGACTATGAGGAGAAACATGAGTGAAACGGTCTCAATCCAAGGGAGGAACATCAAATGGACCAAATTTGGGAACCGGAAGAGGTAAGGAGTCCGAAATGTAGCTTTGTGCCTCCAAATGGTGGGAACTTACTTTTAGTGTATATGATGAACGAGACGGACCCATACTTACCCAAACATGGATTAATAGGTTCTATACATGACTATGAGGAGAAACATGAGTGAAACGGTCTCAATCCAAGGGAGGAACATCAAATGGACCAAATTTGGGAACCGGAAGAGGTAAGGAGTCCGAAATGTAGCTTTGTGCCTCCAAATGGTGGGAACTTACTTTTAGTGTATATGATGAACGAGACGGACCCATACTTACCCAAACATGGATTAATAGGTTCTATACATGACTATGAGGAGAAACATGAGTGAAACGGTCTCAATCCAAGGGAGGAACATCAAATGGACCAAATTTGGGAACCGGAAGAGGTAAGGAGTCCGAAATGTAGCTTTGTGCCTCCAAATGGTGGGAACTTACTTTTAGTGTATATGATGAACGAGACGGACCCATACTTACCCAAACATGGATTAATAGGTTCTATACATGACTATGAGGAGAAACATGAGTGAAACGGTCTCAATCCAAGGGAGGAACATCAAATGGACCAAATTTGGGAACCGGAAGAGGTAAGGAGTCCGAAATGTAGCTTTGTGCCTCCAAATGGTGGGAACTTACTTTTAGTGTATATGATGAACGAGACGGACCCATACTTACCCAAACATGGATTAATAGGTTCTATACATGACTATGAGGAGAAACATGAGTGAAACGGTCTCAATCCAAGGGAGGAACATCAAATGGACCAAATTTGGGAACCGGAAGAGGTAAGGAGTCCGAAATGTAGCTTTGTGCCTCCAAATGGTGGGAACTTACTTTTAGTGTATATGATGAACGAGACGGACCCATACTTACCCAAACATGGATTAATAGGTTCTATACATGACTATGAGGAGAAACATGAGTGAAACGGTCTCAATCCAAGGGAGGAACATCAAATGGACCAAATTTGGGAACCGGAAGAGGTAAGGAGTCCGAAATGTAGCTTTGTGCCTCCAAATGGTGGGAACTTACTTTTAGTGTATATGATGAACGAGACGGACCCATACTTACCCAAACATGGATTAATAGGTTCTATACATGACTATGAGGAGAAACATGAGTGAAACGGTCTCAATCCAAGGGAGGAACATCAAATGGACCAAATTTGGGAACCGGAAGAGGTAAGGAGTCCGAAATGTAGCTTTGTGCCTCCAAATGGTGGGAACTTACTTTTAGTGTATATGATGAACGAGACGGACCCATACT